GTGGTCAGAGCTGGAAGAAACCACAGGGAGGACAATACCACACAGAGCAAGCACGGTGCACACCGCGTTCCCCTCTGCCTTGGGAGTTTAAGCCAAAGCAAATCTTAGTTTTGGATGTGCATTGTCAATATATTGCTTTTCCTTCCAGTTTATTGTCCTCTTCCTCCAGATTGAACCCAGGGCCATCACACTGAGCTGCACCTCCAGCTTTTAATTTTTTTTTTTTTTATTTATTTGGAGACAGTCTCGTTAAATTGCCCAGGTTGGGCTCAAACTTGCAGTCCTCCTTCGTCAGTCTCCCAAAGTGCAGGGATGACAGGCCTGTGCCACTGTGCCACTAGGCCAGGCTGAGTATATTGTTTGTTTTCTTTTTTCTTTTTTTTGGTACTGGGGGGTTGAACTCAATACCCTGCGCTTGTGAAGCAGGCAGTGGAACCACTAAGCTAAATCCCTGGCCCTTTTTTTTGGCTTTTTGAGACAGGATCTCCTTATATAGTTCAGGCTGGCCTCGAACTCATGGTGATCCTCCTGCCTAAGCCTCCTTCCGGAGTGCTGGGATTATAGGCATGAACCACCATGCCCAGCAATATTGGTATATTCTTAACGAAGATAAGCTACTTACTGTAGTTAAGTACCTATTAAAAAAATTTTTTTTAGACGTCTTGCTATGTAGTCCAGGCTGGCCTTGAATCTTCCTGCCTCAGCCTCCAAAGCACTGGGATTACAGGAAAAGTGTCTACTTATATACTAAACAAATACATTAAAATGATTAAAAGTACAGGTTCTCTGTATATGGTAGTTCCTTGCAGTTTCTCCTTGTTTGAAATTACATTAATAGTTATTAAAAATGGTGGCATGGAACTGGGACGACTTGAGTCTGCAGCTGTCATTCTGTCCCTGTAAAGGAGTTGATGCTGGGGCCCTGCTCCGAGGGTGGCAGTGGGGTTTGTCATTTGCTACACACCCACATGCCAGGTGGCAATGCCTCTCACTGATCTTAGCGATGAGTGTTAATGATTTTATTCGTTTTTTAATTGGTGTCGTTTTTTTGAGACTCACCGTATAGTCCTGGCTGGCCTTGCACTTTTGTAGTCAAGGCTGGCATGGTGATCCTTTTTGCCTCAGCCTCTCAACTGGTGGGATTACAGGCTTGGGCCACTGCACCCAGCTGTTAAGGGTGTCTCCCTGTGACACTACAGCCAGATTACTTTGGAAATTGTTTCTGAAGGAAAACAGTGATTTTCCCAATAGAAGAAATGTCTGTGGGATGCTAAAACTGCTGTAAGATGTCTGAAGAAGATAAAACTAGTTGTCCAGACCCATAAGGATAAAATGAACTAAGAGAAAGCAAACTGCAAAAACCAACAAAAAACAAAATAAAGAGAACTGTAAATGTGCAAGCCATATTTAAGGCTGAGAAAAGAGCTGTACAAATTTGCTGGATCTCTCTTCTCCTCCCTTCCGTCTCCCCCATCCTTGGTGTTGGTACTGGGAATCTAATCTAGGACCCTGCGCCCCGATAGGCATAAGCACTCTACCACTGAGCTATGGTATATCCCTAGCCCTGCCGTTTCTTACTTTTGTAATAGGAACTGAACTTGTCCTTCCTTCTAGCATGAAAAAATCAAAGTGTAAATAAGGAACAAAATGTATAATAAATATTTGGAAATGGGGAGAAAATGTTCAAACGAGAAGGGGAAACAAAGGAAGGGAAAGAGAAAAAAGAATAAAAAGAAGAAATGGAAACAAAGCTTTTGTAAATAAGGAGGGGAAAAGGGGCTGATGGGAGGGGAGGGGAATGAGGAAAAAAAAAAAA